GGTTTCTAGCTTGGGAAAAAGGTTTCTAGCTCTTGATGGAAGAGTTACATCATTAAGAAAGAAAATATGGAAAGAGGATGGGAGTTTTTTTGTTTTGTTTTAACATTGTGTTTTAGGTGAATGTTTACACAGCAAATTGGATTTCCATTCAACTATTCTTAATACACAAATTGTTCTGTGGTGTCGGTAACAATCCCCACAATGTGTCAGCATCCTCACCATTTCCACCCTGCCTGCCCTGTGTCTGTCCCTCCAGTTTCCCTGCCCCTCCTTGCCTTCTCATCTTTGCTTTGGGGTAAATGTTGACATTTTGGTCTCATACAGCTGATTGTTTAAAGGAACATTTTCCTCACAGGTACTATTGTTTATTTATAGGACAATCTATTATTTGGTTGAAAGGTGACCTCCAGGAGTGGCTTCACTTCTAGGTTAAAAGGGTGTTTTAGGGTGGCAGTCTCAAGGGTTCCTCTAGTCTTTATCGGTCCAGTAAGTCTGGTCCTTTTTATGAATTTGAATTTGTTGTTTTTCTCCCACTCAAACTGGGACCTTATGTTGAATCGCTGATCAGAAAAGTCTGTGGCAATAGTCAGGCACCATCTAGTTCTTCTGATTTCAGACTAGGAGAGGCTGTGGTTTGTGTTGGCCATCAGTCCTGTGGACTAATTTTTTTTCTTGAGTCTTTGGTTTCCTTTACTCTCCTTTGCTCCAGATAGAAAGAGACCAATAGTTGCATATTAAATGGCTATTCACAACCTTTTAAGACCCCAGACACTACTCAATATAGAACATTCTGCCAGTTGACCTAGTTGTCCCTGAGACTATGATCCTGAGCCTTCAGATCTAATAAGTCAATCCCACAAGGTGTTTGGATATGTGTAGGAAGTATCCCTAACTGTGCCCCCTATGTTCTTTATTGTAGATATGAATATATATGCAGCACATACAAATATGTATGTACATATGCCCACAAATATACCTTAATATGCACATGCATTTATTCCCATACACCTGCCCGCACCTTTATAGTATACATATCTACCTATGTAACCACTCATGTATTTTTTGCTTATTAATATTGTTGTAAAATTTTATATATTAAAGCATTTATTGTAGTTGTCCTTTATTCTTGCATACCTCTCAGTGTCTTCATTTACCTTGGTCCTGTTGTGCTGACATCCCTCATATAGTGTATTGACTCTTCTTCACCAGAATTAACACGTGTCTATTATGTAGTAAATAATTCCCCCTCCCTTGCACTCACATCCCTGGCAACTATCAAAGAACATTGCTTTCTTTGTACATACCTATTCTCAAATTTTTATAAAAGTAGTAGCATACGATGTTTGTCCTCTTCTGTTTGATTTTACTCAGCATGATGTCCTCCAAATTCATCCATATTATAAGATGTATTAGACTCATCATTATTCTTTACTATTGCATGCTGTTCCATTGTATATACCACAATTTGTTTACCCATTCATCTATCAATGGGCACTTAGATTGTCTCCATCTTTTTGCTATTGTGAATAATACTGCAGTGAACATGAATGTGTATGTATCTATTATGTCACTGCTCTTAGATCTCTAGGATAGCTACCTAGGCGTGAGATTGCTGGATCATAAGGTATTTCTGTTTCTAGGTTTTGAGGAAGCACCATACCATTGTCCACAGTGGTTATACCATTGTACAATCCCGCCAGCCAAATCTGAGAGTTCTAGTCTTCTCCACAACCTTGCCAGCATTTGTCATTTTCTGGTTTTTTGATCACTGCCATTTTTGCAGGGGTGAGATGGTATCTCATTGTAGTTTTGATTTGCATCACTCTAATGGCTGTTGATAATGAGCATCTCTTCATGTGTTTGTTATCCACCTAAATGTCATCTTTGGTGAAGTGTCTGTTCATGTCCTTTGCCCATTTTTGGGTTGGATTGTCTTTTTTGTTTTTGAGTTGTTGGGCATTTCTATATATTTTAGACGATTGGGTTTTGAAAACAAGACAATTAATTCTGGAACATCTTGAGTTTGAGATGTTCAAATGACTGTGGAGTCATTCATATAGAGCCCTCTGGAAGGTATAAGAAACACAGTACCTGGGTCCCTAGGTACAAAGAACATTTGGCATCATAAGTTGAAATTTTGGAGAATAGATAGAATGGCCTAGCAAGAAGTATTGAATGATAAGAAAATATAATCACTGATGAATTCCTGAAAACACAAGACATCTTAAAAGTAGCATGACAGGGAAGTGTTGGCAACAAAGACTGAAGAATTAACCCAAAGAGAAGTCAGAGAGTCTGGAGAGAATGACATTGGCCACCTATGAGACACTGGCTAGAATGAGAAGTGGTATTATATCAATGATGCAGTGGCTCAGAGTTAATGGTAGCCCTCCTCAGAGTCATTGCAGGGGAGTAATGAGGACAGTGAGGAGCCCAGTGGCACAATGGTTAATCACTCAGCTGCTAACCAAAAGGTTGGCAATTCAAACCCACCCAGCGGAGCACTCTGTAGGAGACAAGACCTGGTGAGCTGCTCCCATAAAGATTACAGCCTAGAAAACTCTAATGCAACGTGGTTTCATCGTGAGTCAAAAATTAACTCAACAGCACCTAACAACAGCAGTGAGGAGAATGGACCCTATATTTTAATAAGTTGAGGAGTGAATGGTAATTAAAGTAATGAGCCAACAAGTTTCATTTGGCAATGAAGACGCAGAAGGATTGAGGAACTCTCTTGTAGAGTAGAAGAGAATGGAAGATATTAAACAAAGGACCCTCCTAGAAGAAGGGGCTGGGAAGCATAATTGATGCTCTCTTCTTTTATTTCAGAGAAGTTTTAATTACCTAATGGGTTTGGGGGCTCTGTTATATCATTTACACTACATGCTTTGTTGGAACCAGTAACATAGTGTCCTCTTTGGTTTGTTATGTGAAGCCACAAACTAAGTAAAGAGACAGCCTCTGTATTTCTAATCCATCTGATTTTTCCACCTCTTGGACTTGCTTAAAGAGCTCTGGTGATGTAGTGGTTAAGGCATTTGGCTGCTGACCAGAAAGTCAGTGGTTCAAAGCTACCAGCCACTCTGTGGAAGAAGGATGTGGCAGTCTGCTTCTGTAAAGATTTACAGTCTAGGAGACCTAATGGGGTTGCTCTGAGTCAGAGTTGACTTGATGGCAGTGAGTTTGGTTACTTTGGTTTTTTGACTTGCTTCATTAAGAGTATGAGTCCTCCTGTCCTCTTTCTTCTGTCTTGAAATCCTGGATGAATGAGAGCCTGGGGAGAATGCAGCTGAGCTGGAGGTCATTTCTCTGTGCTGCTGGAGACCTGTTAGCTATTGCATCTGTGGGGTGTGACTCCTGGATCCATCTTGCCTTGAGTTGCAGGCTCTTTTTACAACACTTCTCACTTCTGACTCGAAGCCTGTTGTTGTGCATCATTAGGTCAATTCTGACTCATAGTGACCCTGTGGGACAGAGTACTTCTCCATAAGGTTTTCTAGGCTGTTATGTTTATAAGGGCAGATAGATCATCAGGCCTTTTGTCTCGAGGAGCTGCTGATGAGTTCAAACTGCCAACCTTGTGGCACCACAACACCTCCTTTTGAGTTAATCCATGTATATGTTAGTGTCCTGTGGATTTTTTAACAAATTACCATGAACTGGGTAGTTTAAAACAACAAAAATGTATACTTTCACAAGTCTGGAAGCCAGAAATCCAAAATCAAGGTGTCAGTAGGGCCATTCTTTCTCTGACTACTCTGGGTAAAATACCTCTTTGCCTCGTCATAGCTTCTCGTGGTGGCCTTGTCCTTGGCTTGTCAATGCACCACTCTGATCTCTGTCTCCATGGTCACATGGCTTTCTTCCCTGTAACACACCTGTCATATTGCATTAGGACTCACTCTACAGCAATATGACCTCATAGTAATTACTCATCACATCTACAGAAACACTATTTCTAAATGAGTTCATATTTTCAAATACCAGAGGTTAGAGCTTGAACATATCTTTTTGGGAGACACAGCTCAACCCTTAACAACGTGCTCTAGCACAGTGACTGGCATGTGGAAAGTACCACATAAATATTTGCTACTATTCCTGCTATTATTTTTCTTTCTGGTGGTTAAATCCCTGGACTATCAACATCAACTAAAAACACGAGCCCTAAGAAATGGCAAAGGAGCTCTGGTAGCATAGTGCCTAAGGCACTTGACTGCTAACCAGAAGGCTGGCAGTTCAAACCCACGAGCCACTCCTCAGAAGGAAGGTTGGGCAGTCTACTTCTGTAGTGATACCACCTCGAAAACGCAAGGAGGGGTCACTGTGAGTCAGGTCTGACTCGAGGGCACATAACAACAACGACATCAACAAGTGGCAGAGTGCCCCAGCTTTCTCATTTACAACACACCACATCTGGGGAAGTCACTGGCCCCTCCTCTCCACATACTTTAGACATACATCTTAGCCTCTTCATTTGTCCATTTTCCCCATTCCCACCAGAAAATGGCCTTCTACACTTTCATAATTTATTTTTTTCTTCTCAGGGGCTTCTTCCTACACAGCTCTTTGTTTCAGGTTAAGGACTCTTGGAAGCAGAATCCTTGATTTGGAGGCTGTGAGTCTTGCTTCATAAGAGTGCTGTATCAGTAACACTACATAGGAATCAAGAGTTTCATTAGCCAGTTATAGCAAGGAACTCCATGCTATTATAAAGATGCTAACATCATTCACCTGTGAATGGGAAAAAAAAGGTAACGTAAAATGAGACCAAATTAAAATGATCACAAAGTAACTCTTCCCCATCTCCTTCTCAAAGCATAATAGAATTCTCTGGAGGATAAGTGAGGTGATTTCAAAGTCACTTCCAGGGAAGGGTACTAAAAGGCAACTAGAAAGGAGAAATCAATGTTGGTATTTTATAATCTAGGGCCAAGGGTCTTTCCCGGTAACATTTTCACTGCTAACGCTTTGTGTTTCCAATTTTTTGTCTTTGCTCTTAGGGAAGGCCGCTCAAATGCCCACATCCGAGGAGATTACCAAAGGATCGGAGATGTGATGCTGAAGAACATTCAGGGCATGAAGGTGAGCTGGTCTGGAACCGGGTGGACGAGCGGGCTCATGAGGGGGGCCCAGAGGACGAGGGGGCTGAGCTGCTGGTGCCTCAGCTGCATCGTTTTCTGCTAGCACAGCCTGATGGCAGGGGTGGCCAGTTTGGTAAACTTTTCTTCTAGCCTTTCCAAAAATTTTATTTGGAGGCATAAAGACAAATCCAGTCCTTTTTGGAGAAAGTACTTTTAGTACTTTTTAGCTTCAAAAGCTTTCGTGTTATAACCAAAGCAGCAGGTATTTTCTTTTTCTTTTTTTTTTTTTTTAATTCTCTCAACAAAACATTGTTTGCTTGACTGAACATTCATTTCCAGTCAGTTGTTTGGCTTCTTGGCATGACTAAAATATTGAATTTGTATGTAAGAATCCTAGTAAATTCTGCAACTTTAAATCAGTGTAAACAGCAAATACATTTTTTAACCATCTGACAATATCTATAATGATATAAATTACTAAAAATTTATCCTAAAATGTCAATATATAACTAAACTAATATTCAACCCCATTTTTTATTTTTATTTTTATTTTTTTTTTAATTTTATTTTGATTTGGGTGAAGATTTACAGAGTAAATTCACTTTTCATACAGTAGTTCACATATACTTTGTCTCATGTCATTGACCAAAATTTACAAT